CGAACACATATACCTCGATACTGGCTCACATCAGCCCGGAATCGAAGAGCCTTTGTCGACCTTAAAATCGGAGGTAAGAACACACGCCACGGGAACGCACTCCTCAGGCCGTGGATCTACCGGTCGGCGGCAGATTGGGAAGAAGAAGTTTTTTCTTTTTGGGGGACGATTTTTGACGTTTTCATCATTTTTGGATTTAAAGAAGGAGATAACAAAGATATGGTGTTTTGAAGAAGGATTTTGCAGAGAAGGATCACATATTTGCGAATGAATTCAGAAGGTGTGAGAAAGAAGTTAGAAAATTTAGAGTTTGGAGATATAAAAGTGATTAAAAGTGAAATAAAGGGTTATTTATAGGTAGAGCAATGACGGTTCAATTTCGATAATGGCCGACCATCGTCTGACACGCATTAAATGCCTAGGTAAACTGAACCAACGGGACAACTATCACGTACGTCATGATCGAACTCGATGCAAACATCAGTATATATCTAATCGTACCGTTTAAAAATTATGTCGTTTCTCGCTACATCCTTCCCAAGAAACGAGGGGACTATCTGTATACGGTAAAAATCGATTTGTCCTTCGTACGAACTGGTCGAAATGGTAATACATTGGATTGAAGATCAGGTTGAGGTCCGAAGTCAGGTCATCAAGTTTCGATCCCTAAGGACCAATCAATGTCGAGCTCGATATCATTATCGAGCTCGAATCCAAATCGAACTATGATGAAGTTACCGAGCTTACGAGGCAGAGACCGACCAACACTGTCCCCGAATCAATACAAGGCTCCGAATCAGAATCGAGCTCGAGTCAAGATCGAAAACTCGAGTCGATATCGAGCTCGAGACAATATCAAGCTCATAGATAAGAGCTGTTGCAACCGCACTAGGAGAGAGAATCTTGGCAAGAATTATGGAAAAACTGATTTATCATGGGTCTCCCACTATGTATTTTTAATTATATCTAAAGTAGGATCCCTCCACTACAAAGGGGCTGGTTATTAATTCCGTAAAGGATCAAGTTTTGCATACACTGTAACTCAGATATCATACACTCTCATATTGAAGAATTATCCTCTTTTAGTTTCATAGATTGCTTTATCAAGGCTCAATCCTTAAATCGTCCTCCTTTCAACTTTGCTTATTTTTTTACTCTTTACGGTCAATATTCAATATTTCTATTCATCTTTTCGATTTATGTTAAGTTATATCAAATATCCGTAGAACTACATACAAATTTAATTCTATCCGTTTTTCGAGTAAACATACATTATAATTTTTTAGCTGAAAAACTTCCCTCAAAATCAAGTCAGGCGAACGTTATAAAACGTTGGAACTTTCTGTACGTGTATAATAGATCGTTTTTCTTTTACCTCACTAAATATATAATTTAAATTTCTTTTGTTTTATCCATTTTCCAAGCACGCGGTGAACTTAGGCCATGTAGTCTAAATTAGCGAAAACACTTTAAATTGATTGACTAGCTATGCTGACTCAGACCCACGTTGATCTGCCTAGAAAAGGTTTGACACATATTACCTTTGAATTTAAATTAACAAAAATAAATAAACTAAACAAAACCACTCTTTCTCGATAGTCAAAGGGACAGTTTAGTATATTAAACTAGTACTAATATTCAAATAGATTTTATATGTAAGATTGATGATTGCGTTACAAAAATATTCTCTTTTTGCTTTATAAATAAACTATTGCTAGTGGGTTTCAAGGGGACCATCAAGCATTATTCAAGATTTCACACTAGTTGAATTGAAATTGGCATAGACCTAATAAAAAAGAAAAATGGAAGAATAAATAATTGGAAAGTGCACAAAAGGAAAGAACACAAAATTACTAATATTGTGAATATAAAATTTAAAAGGTAATAATAGCAAGTCAGACAAATTAATAATTCGGCAAACAGAAAGGCTACGGAATATAATCTCGTATATGAACTATTAATCTAAATATCTAATGCATTACATATGTTTATTAACTATAATATGTCACCAAACCGTCCGATCTGATCGACCAACTTAAATATAAAAACGGAGATAAAAACTGATTGGTCATTTTTCAGACATGTGCGATAGCAAGTGATCTGTTAATAATATGATCAATTATTATAATTTTGGTGGTTAGAAGCATTAATAAAATAGTTTCTATCGCATATATCTTGAACACTATTTATCGAAAAATTATATTATGTATATATGTCAAAAATTATTTTTATAAAATATATTAAACCTAGAATACCATTTATAAATTTTTTGACTACGGTACTAAATGTTACTGCTCAACATTCCTCGGTAATACTGAAAAGGAAAATAGAAGAGAAAATAGAGCAAAAGGTTAAAAGAGTAAATGGAAGGGTGGATTTCTACAGAGGGAGGCAACAACATCGGGGGCGAAGCTACCTGCAACCAAGGGTGGTCAACTGACCATCTTTCGTCGGAAATTTATACTCCGTATAAGGTAAAATATTATTTGTTATTAATTAAAAATAGGCTTTGAACATTCTTACATAGCCCACTGGCAAAGATTTAAACACCCTTGTTGAATTTTCTGGCTTCGCCACTAAACAACATCATTGATTGTAGAAGTCGTAATGACATTTTTTTTGTAAATGGACCGATGGTTATTCTCAGCACATGCATATGATTGTTATCATTTGCATGTATTTGGACCAGTCTTCTAATAAAACTAAATAGAGAATGATATAGGTTTATAGTATAATTGAATGATTCAACACTAATTTTGAATATTCTTGCTAGCATACCTAATGAAAATGTAATAGTAGAGCGGAGAAAAATAAATAAATCAACGTATCTCATTTGTCTAGAATTTGTATTACATATTTTATTTATTTATTAATTAGAATAGGAAGTCAACCGAACAGAATCCTGTTTCGGTAAAGAGATGACAGCCATGAATCTTGAACTTTATGCACATATTGCATTGGCATCAAGGTAATCCACTAGGGCGGAGCTAGAGTGCGGAGAACGAGTTTGGTCGAACTCACTAGTTTTGGTTCGAACCCTGTATTTATCTTAAAAAATTCATTGAATATATATAAATTATTAATTTAGAACTCAATAACTTAAGACGATTAAATCCGAACTCATAAGCTTGAAATCCTGGTTCCGTATTTGTTAAATCCATCTACTTTCAAAATCTAATCCTTGGACATTTCAAAAGTTGATTATGCTTAAATTTATAATTAGCGAATATATTAGAGAATAAAATGTCATAATTTTGTCGAATACTAGAGAAACCGATAAGCAATCTCAAGCAGATTGTGGGTAGAACATAGAATAACTGGCTTCACTCTGAATGTTATATTAGTGCTCCTCAATAATTTTGCTAAATTTACCAAACCACACTTCATGAGACTATTTGATATTATATAGTGACTGGCAAAAAACCTCACCTAATTTGTTGTGTGAGGGATACATAATAAAAAAAGATTAAGAGTACTTAATTGAATAATATCCAATTAAAATTATACATGTGCAATTCAGTCAGTTTTTAGCTTTCTTTTGCTTCTCACCTGCACCTTGGGAGGTGAAATTTTTGGCCAAAAATAATTTTTTTTCCAAAGTTAAGGTATTGACCAAGGTTTTAAAAGAAAAAAAAAAAATACTTTTGAGTAGAAACAAAGACTGTTTTTCAGAAGCAGAAAAAAATAATTTTTCTCTTAAAATATTTTTTTGAAAAGTACTTTTGAAAAAAATATACTTAGAAATACTTTTTAAAAGTTTAGCCAAACATTAATTCCTGTTCAAAAGTATTTTTCAAATTAATTAGTAAATATCAACTGCTTGTCATCAAAAGTACTTTTTTGAAAAATACTTTTGAGAAAAATAATTTTCAAAATAAGTTAATTTTAGAAGCACAACCAAACATGCTATTGATACATTGTAAAAAAGAATAAAGGGAAAGGGAGGAGGAGACGCCCGAAAAGTTAAAGGGCGTAAATACCTTAGGGGTCGTTTCGTCGGGAAACAAGTTATCCTGAAATTAATATCTCGGGATTGTTATCCAACTCTCTTAAGAATAAAAATAATACTACAATCCCGGAATTAGTTTATACCACAATTTTATTCCAACTAAACATAAAATAAAGTTATCATAAATTTAATCCTCGGAGTAATTATTCCTTCTCTCATACCAGATGAGTCCTTTAAGATTTTACGATGCACTTATGTATTTTCCTTGCTTCTTATATTAGGGACAATGTATTAAGTTTGAATATTTACTTCAAAATAGAAATCCTCAAAGAAGGAAATTTAATGAGAGATAAATTATATGGAATGAAAATTCGTTCAATCTAATTCAAACAAAATAAACAAATGGGAAAAACGCGTGCAAAACCATTGATTCAATTTTATAATGCAAACTCTCAATGCACTTGTCAAGAAAAAATAAGGTTATTTCCTGCTATTTCCGTGGGCCTAAACAAGGAAAATGGCCATGCTTTATCCGAATTATCCCCTTTTTTTCGTGGTCAATTATCCATTTCATTCTCCAATTTGTCAACCTCTTTAATATTTGTCCAACTAAGAAATCATAATATATCCAACACCTTCTCCATCCCGTGCAAACACATCAAAACCCTTACCCTTACTCGGTCTTATCGGTATATAGATACTTTTTAAAATTTAATTTTTTTACAATATCTTTTCTTAGTTATAAAAATGTTATGATATATTTAATACTACAAATTCAAAAAATATTTTGATATGTTGAGAATCTTTCTTTCCTTTTTTCTTAAATTCCAAGTTGTTTATGAAACTAAACGGAAAGTCCCATCTCCATATTATGAAAATAATGAAATTACTGATTTTCAGTTTTCCGACGATGCGAATATTATTTTTCTTTTTTTTATTCCCGCAGAATCCGACACACACAAAAGAGAAGACCAAACCAAAAGTACACCTAACCACGTACGCGTCCATTCCTCTCTATATATATACCCAACTATACATCCAGCTGTTATAAATTGTCTTCTTACCGCTCTCTTTCTTTTTATACATAAACCTCTTTCCTTTGTAATTGTAATTGTAATTGTAATAATAATAATAATACAGTACCAAAATCAAGTGCCTCACAAATGGGTTCATCTTTATCTTTCCTCTTAATGCCACGTGTATCCACCACCACCTCGCCGCCGGCGAATTCCGGTCTCGGAGACTTGCCGGAGAGTTGTGTAGCCTCAGTTATGGTGTATTTAGACCCACAAGAGATCTGTAAAATCTCAATGCTAAATCGTGCTTTTAGGGACGCTTCTTCTGCTGATTTTGTATGGGAATCTAAATTGCCTTTGAATTATGGCTCTCTTATTGATAGAGTCTTTGTTGATGATGATGAAAATTTTCCTACCAATTTGTGTAAAAGGGATGTTTATGCTAGGCTTTGTCGACCCAATTATTTTGATGGTGGCACAAAGGTCCAATCTTTACCCTTCTTATATTACATCTTTATATTTAGGAATTTTTTTGTATATGAATTCCCAATTTATCTTGCATATATGCGGTTTAATTTGTTGTAAAAGTTTGATTATTTCCACTTTTTTTTGTTCATTCTTGGAGAAGATATTTTTTTTTCTTGAAAGATACAATTTTTTTTATTGGAATGTTCAAAAGTTATGTTGGAAATGATTGAACGAGAGTTAGGTGAAATGGGTTTGTCTGTTTTTAGGAAATATCATAGGGATATGCTTTTCTGATTAAATATTCTGTATGTTGAAATAGGAGCAGATGATGTAAAGATTTATACTTTGTTTTAAAGATGAGTTCTGATGGATTTATTGATTGGGATGTATGCAGAAGGTTTGGTTAGATAAGGGAACAGGACGAGTTTGTCTATCCATATCTGCAAATGGATTGGCGATAACGGGCATTGATGATCGGAGATATTGGAGTCGTATTGAAACAGATGAATCTAGGTGAGGGGTTAAAATTGTTTTATTTCTGTTATCAAGATATAGCAGTATGTATACTTGTATGTGTGTGTGTGTGTTTATTGATGTGTGTGGTTTTAGATTGTCTGATCAAGTCCAACTATTCGGGCAATTTTGATGAATTCCTCCTATGAAAAGGTTCTATTTACATGATTTATGTTGTAAAGTTTGTGATTTCTTGTTTGATATGCTTGTGGTAGAGCGTTTGAATTGGAGTTGTTTAGTTTGTTTTTCATGTCTCCTTGAGTCCTTGTTTCCTGTGGCATGGAAATTATATTATCGATAAATCTTGCCTGTTTACTTTTAAATTTTGAAAGTGAAGCCTTAATGATGGATTGTAGTGATAAATTGATTCCTTTATGCAATTTCTTCTACTTAATGAAAGCCTAGTTGGGAACTCTCCTTACCATTAGTATGCTCGTGCCTCGTCACAGCGGAAGCTTGTAACACACAAGCAGACCTTAATGAAAGCATAGTTCTTTGTTTCTTAGAGGTTTGAAATACCATAAAAGTCCTCCCCTGTTTCCCCGTAAACCACAAGTAGTATTATGTTTCTCGGAGACTGCAATCGAGGATAAAATGAATTCCGATCACACACTCAGAACATCAAATGGGGCTTTAATTATCAAATATCATACACTAGATGTACAAAGTCCACGTCTTTTATATATATCTTACTACTTGTAAAATTTTCAAGAATACCTCTTTCGCCTTGCCTCCATAGCAAAAGAGAAGTGAAAAATGATCTGTATTTGTTGAAAGGTCTGGCTCTTAAGTATGCCATACTTCATGTTTCAAATTTACTGCTGTATTGTCACACTAACAAAAAGCTAAAGTACGAAATCTTTATACAAATATACTTAAGGATTTCTTCTTTTTTTGCCTGCAGATTTCAGTCCGTTGCATATCTCCAACAGATTTGGTGGTTTGAAGTCGACGGAGAGGTTGATTTCCCATTCCCAGTAGGGTCCTATAGCATTTTCTATAGGCTGCAAGTTGGACGTGCCTCACGGAGATTTGGAAAGCGAATTTGCAACTCGGAGCATGTCCACGGATGGGATAAAAAACCAGTACAGTTCCAGCTTTCGACGTCAGACAAGCAGCAAGCCACAACCCAGTGTTACTTGAAAGAAGCTGGAAAATGGAAATACCACCATGTAGGAGACTTTGTTGTCACAGGATCTACAGAAACCATGAAAGTTAAGTTCTCCATGACACAAATCGACTGCACACACACCAAAGGTGGACTTTGTGTAGATTCTGTGCTAATATGTCCGAGCGAGTTTACAGAGAGGTTAAAGCGTTTTTAATGTGCTGCTAACCTTCTCTTTAGGAAAGAGTTTGTAAAAGAGTTAGAGGTAGCAGTATCCATAGTTCTGGATAAGTTACTCTAAGCAGCGACGGTCATCTATGTTAGATCGAGGAAATGTGTGTATACGTGTATGGCGGGGTCTTTTAATCCCAACTACTCGTTTTTAGGTATGCGTACGTAGTTCTTAGCCTATGTTAAATCGGACTGCTTTTTCACGTGCACTTTGATCCTAGCAAGTGAATGGAATCAAGATTCTTTTAGGAGCGCATATCATTCTCCTTTGAGTTTGATTTAAACGTTATATTGCTTTATCAACTTTCAATGAGAAAGCTTCCTCAAATTGTTAAACTGCAGGATGTTTTGCATCTCTATCCACTCGTGTGCTCAGATTTGGATAATCTACTAACCTATTGCTTATTAGGAGCAAACAAGAGTGATATCGTAGTTAGGCTTTTGCTCATCTATTTTGTCAAGGGGAGTGGAAGTGGACTGCCTTTTCATCAGTATAAGGCAATCTTAACTCCTCTGCCTGCAATTGCATGCAACTGTATAAGTTCCCTTGATGTTCATCACTCTAAACATTCGTCTTGACATCCTTCTTTTAATCTCCCTTCCCTATCACAAAGCGACATGCATGTAAGGAGAAAGGAGCACAGGAATGAATATTATTTATAGAAGTGGCAATGGGGCAGGGCGGGTTGAGGCTTAACCCGCAAAACTTTAAACCCGCCCCACGTAGCATTTTTCTGCTTTCAACCCCCCACCCCGCAAAGATGACCCCCGCAAAAAAGAAAAATATTTTTTTTTGTTACTTTTGCTACTACACACAAGTTTAATATTTGAAATTTAACATATAGTATTAGCCTACTTGTATCTTCAGTTTAATTTCTCATCTAATATAACGTCAACTTTTTAATAAGTATTTGCGCATTTCTTTTCTCTTTCCAGATACCAAAATAAAACTCCAAAATAATAGTGATCTCTTTAAAACAACTTAAGTAAATGTAGTTACACAAAATTGTTAAAGTTTAAAGTGAAGAATAATAAGATGTCATACCGGAAGTTGGAGTGTAATACTTTATATATTCAAAACCCATCAATGTTAGGGGTCTTTTGGTAGGATGCATTAGATAAAATAATGCATGCATTAACTTTGGATATAAATAATATCTTGTTTGGTACACTTTTTGAACCTATGCATTGGTTATGCAATCATTAGTTATACACTCTATTTGGTATTATCATATGCATAACTAATGCATAAGAAATCATGGTATTAATAATGCAATGGGTTTTAATGCATGCATTAAGTTAGTTAACTTTGATTAGCCAATCGAGTGCGGAGGGTACTGTGCTCCTCTTCATTTGTTCCCTCGAAAGTGCCGCTAGTCGGTTTAATTATGGAATGTCCAAAAAGCCTGGTCAAATGCGAACATTATTATTATAATATTATGCCCTAGAACATGTTATTGAATTGAGTGAGAGGTCCCTTTCTTCGTCTTGATTTTGTTCGAAAGGACCCTCTTATTCTCATGGCCTGGTCTGGTCAGTACCCAGCCGGGCCCGCCGTACTTCCTTTGACTACTCCTGAGATATAGTGGAAACATTTTGTTATGGTGGAGAGTGGGGAGTGAAAAGACCAATGCAACAGAGAACGCGTAGAAATTTGTCCAATAGTAACAAAGGGTGCCTCCACAGGTTGACATCCGATCCAACCTAGTAGTAAGCAATCTTCAAGGGTATGTTAAAAACCATCGTCTTTTCTTTGTTTGTATCACCGAGACACCCGAAGGGCCGGCCATATGTACCTCGGGAGCCCCGGCCCATTCAAATAAAAATAGAACGAGCACCTACGACTAAGGGGAATGGAATGTCGACCACAGGGTGAGAGAATCTTATAATACGAGGGCTAGTGACTGGTCAAGTCATTAAACTTAGTCATTTTGATCAACATGGCTGCAAGTGGACTGGGCAAAAATGTCCTTCAAAATTTGTGCTTGATTAAAATATACTATTATGTTAATGCAAGTTTGAAATAATTCAAAAAAGTGGGAAATAAAATTATATCCCTAGTAAATAAATAAATACTTAGCATATTTTCTTTTTTATAAATAAATATTCAGTGATCTATACTACAATATAGGTAGACAAATCAAATAAATATTTTTAAAACCTTTTTCATATAAACATTCATCAACATATGTTTCTTTTAAAATAATAAAGTGATGGAATGGTTAGGAGGGCATTTTTGTAAGCAAATAATTCTTTTAGAAATTGTGCAATGCTTTAATACATCAAACCAAACAATGGATAAGAAATATGTCAGCATAACCAATGCCAGCATAACTAATGCAAGCATAACTAATACCAACATTACTAATACATCATATTCAGCATTATTCTTATACACTCTACCAAACGACCCCTTAGAGTATAATAAATAGAAAATCAAGACCCATCCTTGTTAGCTATATTCAAGAGTCAAGACCCATCACTTTTAGACTGTAGTAAAAATTTAGAAATAATTGCCTAACATATTCCGGGTCTTAGAGATGCTATTTATTTTGTTTCTTCTTTACTTGATTTTGGTTCTAAGTTGGTAGTGTAGATAATTAAATTTTTATTAAATTTAAATCCATACAAAATTTGGTTTTTATCATAATTGGACATATATTAGACCAAACAAATATTATGGGCTAGTATGATTGAGTCAATTATTTAAATTTAATTAAATTAATTTAAATAAAAGTCTAATAAAATTGGGCTAACCCATTCTTCCATCAAATGGATCGGCCCATAAGCCTTAAGCCCAATAACGCACTAGGGTTTTCTTGGAGGCTACTCTACCTCACACCTATATAAAGGGGGTCATAGGGTAAGAAAAAGGGGGACAAGCAAGTAAGCAGAAGGAAAGGCTAAAGAAGCTCTGAAGAATAGCATCAAGGTCTCCATCCACATCTGCAATCTTCGTCTGTGGTCAAATCCCAAAGGCGAACGCAAATCATAAGCGGGCGGTTTCAAATCTTCTGTTCGTTATAACCCAACAACAAATCCTGGTTCGTGACGACCTTCAAATTGTTCGTGACGCACCACAAATTTGAATCCTGTCAAGTTCAAGATCAAGCACTCAAGCTCTTGAACCATCGTTCGTGAGGAGAAGAATCAGAGGACTACATCTCTTTAGATTCGAGATATTCTAAAGATTGTAACCCCATCACCTGAAATTGAATATAATATTTGTCGCTATATTTCTTATCTTGATTATTATTTTTAGAAGCGAAATTTAGTTGTTACAAATTTTGGCACGCCCGGTGGGACCATCCCTACCTCTCATCTCTTCTCTTCGAAGTTCAAGAACACCAAGATGACCTCAATGAAAATCAACCCTAGATCTGACTCCAAAAGCGGATTGGAAGTTGCCATAGAGATTGTTGGCCAAATCAAAAGAAGCAAAGCCGAGATGCTAGGACAACAAATGCTTTAAGTGTCTTCCACAACTCATGTGTTTGGTTCATCTTCTCCAAAATAAGTAAGATCCTCCTCGTACATGCTAGAAGAAGGGAAAAACATCGCTGAGGTGGTCGAACAAACTTTGGTGCGATTCAGCCTTTCAAAAGAATGCCATCGCCAGTCCCACAATCCCTTCATGTAGAAAGATGACGACGTCTTGAGCAATAAATTTTCTCCAATCTCTCCTTGTGTCACTCCACAATCTGCTCTCTATCCAAGTGATGATCCATACCATTCTTCGTCCTCTGCGTTGATCATGCAAATGGTGATGATTGAAGCTTCAACCATAGAAGAACAACTTGCAAATTTGACAAAAGCAGTTGAAGGCGTGACAAAATACATGAAATATCAAGATGATAAACTTTCCAAGTTAATGAATAAGGTGGAGAGTATGACGGAGAAAGAATCAAGTCAAGCACCTATGAAGCTTCCAGAAATTCAAGAGAAAGGAGAGTCCTCTACAAAGCTAGAAACAATAACCAAAGAGCTCCAAGTCTCTTATGATGGACAGATTCATGTTGAGCAATTGAAAGACTTCATCATAGGGGCCTTCAAAGATAAAATTGAGCCTTCGCCTAAATATTTCCTTACATACGCAAAGCCGTACACACAAAGGATTGATAACTTGAATATGCCAAGTGGATATCAACCTCTTAAGCTTCACAATTCGACGGTAAAAGGGAATCCCAAGCTACATGTTGCACACTTCGTCGAGGCATGCAATGATGCTGGAACTTATGATGATCACCTTGTCAAGCAGTTTATTCGATCTCTCAAAGGAAATGCTTTTGATTGGTACACAGATCTTGAACCTAGTTCCATTGATAGTTGGGAGAAACTCGAGCAAAAAATCCTCAATCGCTTCTATAGCACAAGGCGCATTGTGAGCATTATTGAACTTACAAATGCCCGCCAACAGAAGGAGGAGCAAGTTATCGAATTCATCAATCGCTGGAGGAGTTTAAGCCTCAACTGCAAAGACCGTCTTAGCGAAATTTCTGGCATTGAAATGTATATCCAAGGTATGCATTAGGGCCTTCGCTACATCTTGCAAGAAATAAAGCCTATAACTCTTGAAGAGTTGGCCACCCGTGTATATGATATGGAATTGAGTATGGCTACACATGGAGATCAAAGGTTGTCTGTCTTTGAGACTCAGACGATGTCGAGAATGGGGGAAAGTATTCATCCGAAACTGAAATCGAAGAGTCCATGCATGTCGCAATGCTCCTTGACGCATGAGCGTAAACTGCAAGTCACAATGCTCCTTGATGCATGAGCCTAAACTGCAAGTCGCAATGCTCTTTGATGCATGAGCCTAAACTACATGTCAAAGCACTCCTCAATGCACGAGCATAAACTACAAGTTATGATGCTCTTTGACACATGAGCATAATTGTATGCCACGAAGCTCATCAAATTTGAGCAAAGTCTTTAAGATATAAAGCTCCTCAAATTTGAGCAAAGTCTTCAAGTTGCAAAATTCACCAAAATTGAGCGAAGTCTTCAAAGTTGAAAAGCTCTTCTAATTCAAGCAAAGTCTTCAAGTTATAAAACTCCTCAAATTTGAGCAAAGTCTTCAAGATGAAAAAGCTCTTCAAATTTGAGCAAAGTTTTTAAATCACAAAGCTCTTCAAATTCGAGCAAAGTTTTCAAGTTGCACAACTCACCAAATTTGAGCAAAGTCTTCAAGATGAAAAAGCTCTTCAAATTTGAGCAAAGTTTTTAAATCACAAAGCTCTTCAAATTCGAGCAAAGTT